CTCCAGGAGTCACAGGAACCAGGCAGGCAGACCCGGCTGCCATAGCTCAGGTTGCTGGAGCAGACGGACACAGTGGATGCAGCCATGCTGGGGTTGAGCTGGGGAGGTGTGAGTGAGTGTGTGGGTGAGTGTGAGTGAGTGTGTGAGTGAGGTACTCCAGGCATGTGGCTTTTATATCTGGTGGGTGGGAGGGGTGTTGCTCTAGCTGGAGGCCCCACACGCCTCCCCTTTCCTTGTTGGTGTTTGAGCTGGGCTGGAAGCCCTTATTAATTCTCGTTTATTTACACAGAAGAGTTAGCTCAGCTGTGTGATGTGTGGTCATGTGTGAGGGCTGGGTGGATGCTCTGACCTGTGTTTTGTCCCCTGGGCAAATATTTCATGAGACAGGTCTGGAGGGGCCCTGCCGGCACGTCCTTGCCTGCTGAGCTGCTTTCCAGGTGTCCTTGTGCTGCTGTCGGGTGGGGGAGACCGGCATCCCCAAGTCTCTGCGTCTGGGCAGCATGGCAGGGAAGCCAGGGCCGGCGAGGCCCCCCTGGTGAGGCCACTTGGCTGCAGAGCACTGTGGATGTGCCCCCTAGACTGGGGACAGCTGAGCCGCAGCACAGCCTTACAGAAGAGAGAAGGTGCTGTTGGGGAGAGAGGTGGTAAGGTGTCCCCCACATAGCCAGAGAGACAGGGATGGCATATATGAAAGAAAACTTAGGAAGACATGATTATTCCAGAACCTTCAACCTTCATCAGATAGAATTTCCAGAAGGAGCAGCAAAAGGGAGAGAGGAAAACTTTCCAGAGCTGAAGGGAAGCATGGGACTTCAGACCTGAAATTTTGACCAAATGTGAGCCAAAATGAATGGAGAACGGTGCACATGTGGACAGGCTGGTGAAGTCTGAGACACTAAACAAAGAAACCCCCAGAAAAGCTTCCAGAGAGGCCGGCAGCTAACTCAGCTTAGAGAATCTGAGTCTGGTTCCCAGAACAATTGAACCAAATCTGAGGAAAGTTAAAAGGACTGGGCTGAGTCATCTACCTGGTGTAGGGGAAGAGAAAGACGTTCAGACACCACAACTTTGAAAACATCTTGGAGCACAGGGTCCACTGAGTCAAAAGGAGATGTGAAGGGAAGCAGATACAAGGGAACAGTGAACCAGAACGCTCGGCTTCCTCTGGGAGAGCACCCACACCGCTCCGCGTCACCACCCGGAACCCAGGGACTTCCAGAAATAATCCTCCTTCCCCTGCCCCGTCCCCTCACTTAGTTCACTCTCCGAGGTGTGCATCTCTGTCCATTTTGATAAACGCACACAGTCCTGCCCCTACCCCATAGTGCCGTGCAGAGGAATTCCAGCATCTTCAACATTTCCACATTGCTGACTCACTGTGGGCAACCGCACCCTCATTCATGTCCTTTCTAGACGCTCATGTCCCTCGGACACTGGATGGACCCTATAGTTCATATGTTACCTTGTGGGTTGGGCTTCTTTCTCTCAGCAAAATGCCTTTGGGATGCATCTAAGTTGCTGAATAGCAATAGTTTACCTCTTTGAATCGCTCAGGAGTATTCCACTGTATGATTTACCACTTTCTTTTGTCTTAATTTCTTTGAATGTTTACTTTCTTTTTCTTTTATTGAGTCATAAACACATAGATCAGTGGTTTTCAACCTGTGGGTCACGACCCCTTTGGGAGTCGAACAACCCTTTCACAGGGGTTTCCGTAGACCATCCTATATATCAGATATTTACATTACGATTCACAATAGTAGCAAAATTACAGTTATGAAGTAGCAACAAAAATAATTTTATGGCTGGGGGTCACCACAACGTGAGGAACTGTGTGAAAGGGTTGCAGCATTAGGAAGGTTGAGAACCACTGACATAGATCATGTGTACACTAATGCATTTATGGGGTACAATGTGCTGATTTTAAGTACAATTTGGAATGCTTACATCAAACTAGTTCATATAGCCTTCACCTCATTTACTTAATTATTGTGTTAAGACGTTTATACTCTACACTCAATAGATTTGACGTGTACTCTTGCAATATACACCATAGGTGTGGTGCCACCATTTACCCCCCCTCCATCAAACCTCCTCCATCCCCTCCCATCTCCCTCCTCTTCCCTCTTTCATCCTGGGCTATAGTTGTGATTTATCTTTCATATGAAAGTATGAAATTGGTTTCATAAAAGTACTGAGTACATTGGATACCTTTTCTTCCACTCTTGAGATACTTTACTAAGTAGAATATGTTCCAGCTCCATCCATGTAAACATAAAAGAGGTAAAGTCTCCAAGAGACTAAAAAATGCCTTTTTTTAAGGCTGCATAATATACTATGGTGTACATATACCACGATTTATTAATCCATTCATGGGTCGATGGGCACTTGGGCTTCTTCCATGACTTGGCAGTTATGAATTGAGCTGCAGTGAACAATCTTTGTTGTAAAGTGATGTTTGGTCTTTTAGATATACACCTAGTAGAGGACTGCAGGATTAAATGGCAGGTCTACTTTTAGATCCCTGAGTATTCTCCAAATTTCTTTCCAAAAGGAACATATTAGCTCGCATTCCCTCCAGCAGTGCAGAAGTGTTCCCTTTTCTCCACATCCACACCAACATCTGTAGTTTTGGGATTTTGTGATGCGGGCTACTCTTACTGGAGTTAGATGATATCTCAAAGTGGTTTTGATTTGCATTTCTCTGATTAAAGATGATGAGCATTTTTTCATGTGTCTGTAGGCCATGCACCTGTCTTCTTCAGAAAAGCTTCTGTTCAAGTCCCTTGCCCACAATGAAATGGAATCACTTGTTCTTTTCTTATTAATAAGTTTGATCAAAACAGCATGGTACTGGCACAAAAATAGAGAGGCAGATGTATGGAACAGAGTAGAGAACCCAGAGATGAACCCAGACACTTATGTCATTTGATCTTTGATAAGCCTATAAAAAATATAAATTGGGGGTAAGATTCCCTATTTAACAAATGGTACTGGGAGAAGTAGCTGGCAACTTGTAGAAGACTGAAACTGGACCTACACCTTTCACCATTAATAAAAATTGACTCTCGCTGGATAAGATTGAAACTTAAGATATGAAACTATAAAGACTTTTGGAGACTTGAAGAAATCGGCCTGGGAGAATACTCTATGAGGAGGACCCCCCAGGCAATTGAAGCAACACCAAAAATACATTACTGGGATCTGATCAAATAAAAACCTTCTGCACAGCCAAGAACACAGTAAGTAAAGCAAGCAGACAGCCCTCAGAACGGGAGAGGATATTTGCAGGTTATGTTTCTGACAAAGGTTTGATAACCAGAAACCACAGTTTCTTTATCCATTCCTTGGCTGAAGGACACTCGGATCTTATCCTGTTTTTGATGATTATGAGCAAAGCTTCTACAAACATTGTATGCAGTTTTTGCATAATAACGAATTTCCATTTTTCTAGAGTAATTATCAAGGAGTGGAATTGCTGGGTCAATGGTCGGTGTATGTTTACCATTGTAGGACAAAGCCAAATTGTTTTCTAAAGTTCTGCACTTCCAGTGGCAACATACCAGAGTCCTGGCAGCTATGCATCCTTGCCAGCCCCATGCTGCCAATTAAAAAAAATTCAGCCATCCTAATACTGTGTGCTGTGGTATCTCACCATAATTTTAATTTGTGTTGCCATGGTGATTGAATGTGTTGGACATATTCTAAGTGCTTATTTGCCAGACTGTTTTCCAGAGTGGTTATAGTAGTTTACATTTCCACCACCAGTGTACGAGAGTTCCATCCTTGACAACACTTGGCGTGCTCAGCCTTTTTAATTTTACCCTAACAGGCCCAGAGGGATCTCATCACAGCTTTAATTTGTGTTTCCCTAATGACTAATGATATTGAGCATCTTTGTATGTGCTTATTTGCCATCCATGCATCTTTTGGGGTAAAATATTTTTTTTTTGTAGTTTTTTTTTGGCCAGGGATGGGTTTGAACCCGCCATCTCTGGCATATGGGGCTGGTGCCTTACTCCTTTGAGCCACAGGCGCTGCCCTGGGTAAAATATTTTTTCAAATCGTTAGGTCCCCCCTTTTAAATTAGGTTTTCTGACATGGAATTTTGAGAGTTCTTTACATTTTTTCGATCTAAGCACTGTGGTCAGCTGTGTAATTTGCAGATATTTCCCACTAGTCCATGCTTTGTCTTTTTCTTCTCTCAACAGCATCTTTTGAAGAGCAAAAACGTTTAATCAAGTCCTATATATCAAATATTTTCATTTATAGATTATGCGTTTTGTGTTGAATCCAAGAACTCTTCGCCTAACATAAGGCCATTGAGATTTTCTCCTATTTTTTTTCTAAAAGTCAAACATTTATCTATGATTGATTTTGCTTTAACTGGTACATTAAGGATGAGTCATTATTGGTCAAGCCTTTTTTGCTTGCAGACATCCAATTGTTTCACTGTGCACTTCTGTCAGAAATCAGCGGCCTTGTACGGCTCCGTGTCTCTATTCTCTTCTATTGATCTGTGTGTCTTTCTGCCCACACCACATTGTCTTAATTGCTGCAGCTTTACAGTAAATCTTGAAATCTCATGCTGTGAATACTCGAATTTATTATTCTTTTTCAAATTGTTTTGGCTATTTTAGTTCATTTGCCTCGCCAAATAAATTTTAGAATCGACTTGTTAATATAAACAGAAATTCATGCTGGCATTTTGATTGGGATTACCTTGAATCCACAGATTAGTTTGGGGTAACTGACATCATAACAATGTTGAATACTCCACCCATGAACATGA